ATGGTAATCCTGAGCATACAACTTGCAAGTTATGGGGAAATTTATTCATTTTCTCTCCTGGAGCAAAGTTATAACCAGATTACATTGCAGTTGTGACCTACTAAGGGATATGATCACTACTCCTCTACTGCAAGGCTAACATGTAAATTGCTTTTCTAGTTAATTGGGAGTTTGGCTTCAATAAAAACTAGGTGAGGAAATTCACATGGTTCAAGTGCAGAGCATGAGAAGGGCATATCTTCTACCACAGAAAAGAGTAGCTTGCAAAACTGATTTAAAAAACTAGTTAAAAGTAATTATTTAAGGAACGAGAACACAGAGCCATAAAATAGTGAGTATGGTGTTGTGGTTTGAACATTTGAACTATTTATTCATTTACTTACAGTATTTATATACTGCTTTTCTCACCCCCTGGGGGCACTCAAAGCGGTTTATAGAAAAATAATGGCAAAATTAAATGCCTTACATACATAAACCAAAACTCAAACCAACAACATATAGCTAGACATAAAATCAATAAGACAATTCACCATAAGATAAGATAAAATGACATTCAATACATAAAATATAAGAATTCAAATAGCTTTAAAAAGCATTAAAATCACATTATCCAACTTATAGACCGGGGCATTCCAAATGTCGATTGCATATATTCCATATTTGCTTCTTGTACTGCATTACTTCACTAGTCAAAAGCTTGGTTCCATGTCTTTGTTCTTTTTCTAAAGGCCAGGAGGCAGGGTGCAGATCTAATCTCACTGGGAAAAGAGTTCTAGAGCTGAGGAGCCACCACTGAGAAGGCCCTGTCTCTCTTCCTCACCAACCACACTTGTGAAGCATGTGGGATTGAGTGCAGGGCCTCCCCAGAAGATCTTAGCCTCCTTGATGGTTCATAGAGGGAGATACGTTCAGACAGGTAACTATGACTATGGAGATTATGGTTTGGACTTGGCTTAGTCATGCATATTTGATAATAATAATAACTTTATTCTTATACCCCACCACCATCTCCCTGAAGGGACTCAGGGTGGCTTACACATGGGACAAAATGCCCACAGACACAAATACAAAACAATCAATCAAAGCAAAAAGTCAATTAAAATAAATCATAGTTAATGATAACAATCCAGATACAAGCACAATTCAATAAAACATAAGAGTAAAACAGAAAAGTTAAAACTCAATCAAAACAATATTCAACAAAACCAATTGCCAGTAGTACAATGGGCGTGTAGTACAAAAGGGCTGAGCATGGAATAGTGCATATAGCATATCATAGGGCCAGGTATTGGATGAAGTGCAGAGAACAAAATATTATTAAGGAACCTGGGGTCCAGGCTTTAGCACAACTGCTAAATCATCACCAATGATAAGATCTACCAACCAAAATGTTGCCAGTTCAAAGCTCCAGGTTGGCATGAATTCCCAACTGTGTACCCAGCTGACTGTTAACCTAAGCAGTACGAAAGCAGCTTAAGCTGTAAATAGAGAAATTAGGTACCTCTAAAGCAAGTGGGGGAGGTATTTTATGACACCATAAAGAAAAAGATCAGAAAATGCCCGGCTACCAAAAGGAAGGAGGAAGTCCTGATGGCTCTTTGCCATAGAGCAGTGGTTCTCAACCTGGTGTCCCCAGATGTTTTTGGCCTTCAACTCCCAGAAATCCTAACAGCTGGTAAACTGGCAGGGATTTCTGGGAGTTGTAGGCCAAAAACATCTGGGGACCCCAGGTTGAGAACCACTGCCATAGAGGATGGAATGACAGCACCCCTCTGTGGCTGGATTCGAGCACAACCTCCAAGGTGCCAAAAAGCTGGATGTCAACACAACATATCTCCCTCCTGTTCTGTCTGTCTCTGTCCTGTCTGTCTAAAACGGCATTTAATGTTTGACATGTATGTGTACAATGATCTGCCCTGAGTCCTCTTGAGGAGATAGGACAGGATATAAATAAAGTGTTATTATTTATAAGTAGGGACTAGTTGTTCTCAAATGCAAGCTGAAACACTGAGGTTTTGAAACCCCTGCAAAAGGAGGACAATGTGGGTGCTTGCCTAATCTCCCAGGGGAGCGAGTTCCAGAGCCAGGGGGCCACCACTGAGAAGGCCTTTTCCCTCGTCCCCACCAAGCACGCTTGTGATGGTGGTGGGAGCAAAAAGAGGGCCTCACTAGCGGATCTTAAAGCCTGTGCCGATTCATAGAGGGAGATGCAATCCTGAAGATAGACAGAATCCGAACCGTTTAATTTAGGCTTTATAGGTCATAACTGTATTTGCCGGGTGACTTGGCAAGTCACACTCTCTCAGCTTCAGGGGAAGGAAAACACAAACCTCCTCAGAACCAATCTTACTAAGAAAAGTTTGCCTTAGGATTGTCATAAGCTGGAAATGTCTTGAAACCACCCAGCAACAATAAATGAGAATTTAATGACAGTATAATGCTCACATCTAGTAGCTATATTCTATATAGCTACCAGTCTATATTAATGACTGGTAGCTATATTCATGTCTGATCAAATGCATTCTTTCTAGACATTTTACATCCTCAAGCACAAGGCCAGGGGTGCTTCATTTCAATAGGGTTCACTATTATCCACAGTTTCACATATCCATGTGAAGTCCAGTAACATACCCTTTGTGGATACAGGGCTTAAACTTGAAAGGGTCACAGTTCAGATAGAGATGGTAATGTGTCTGCTTCCAAATGTTGCCCACACCTACTATATATGAACAGTGTTTTGACTGAGAGCAAAATTACAGTTATCTCCTTTCTACTTTATTTCAGTGTATTCCTTGAATTCAAGAGTGTATGTTTAAAGTTTTTTTGTATGAGGAGGGAGGGAGAGAGAAGGAGAGACAAAGAAAGGCTGGTTCACAAGAACAGGAGCACCTCCTAAGGATCTGATGTGGTTGTTATGGACCTGATATGGGCTGTTATTGGCTTCGAACTATCAGGCTGCAGCAAGGGTATTTTTAGCATTTTGCCCAAGCAGACAGCTGGATTAGGTTGCCTGAGCAACTGCAGCGTCACCTTGAACTCCCTTAAATGCTGCGGGAAGCATCTTGATCCATGTATTCAGAGGGGTTTCTATGCAGACATCAACAGCCAGAGGACAATTGAGGATAATGTCCAAAGTGGCAGTGCAGACAAGGTGTGCTAATGAGAAATTGTGTATTAATGATGAAAATATATAGCCGTTACATTCAAAAGTAACCTACTGTGTAAGACTCCACAAACAAGCTTTTTCACACCATCCATGTGGGAGCTTTCTGATGGATTGCAAAGTACTGGTTGACAACTGATTTTAATGAAGGTTGGTTTGACAAAGAAGTGAAGGATGATGTTTCCAACTGAGGCTTGATCTACACTGCCAAATAACGTAGTTTCAGAATACAGATTAACTATGTGATCTGCAACTCTAGATGTTGTTAAATTGAAGTTCCCAGCACTCTTGACATACTGAACATTGAAAATGCAATGTTGAAAATGCAAGCTTCTTTGGAAGCTTTTAAACAGAGGCTGGATGGCCATCTGTCAGGGGTGATTTGAATGCAATATTCCTGCTTCTTGGCAGGGGGTTGGATTGGATGGCCCATGAGGTTTCTTCCAACTCTTTGATTCTATGATTCTATGAAAAGTACAGGGAGCTACAGTCATTGATATTAGGAACAGTGTATAACCCCCATCCTTGATTTAAAAGACACTGGGCATTAAGGATTTAATATGTGTGTACATTATTTATTTATTTATTTATTTATTTATTTAAAACATTTATATTCCACCCTTTTCACCCCGCAGGGGACTCAGGGCGGAGCACAACATATATACAGCAAACATTCAGTGCCAGGACACAAAACCATTAATATATACAAACATTAAACATTAGTGAGGCAATTGTCTAGGTCTAGGTTACAGAGTGAAGGAATAGAAAAAGTATGGATATTAAGCCCTTGCATGTGTCATGCCAACCATATTGCATGTCTTTTTGTTTGCATCTCATTGAGTTGGTTCAGTTCCTTGTTCTTCAGCAGTTAGAATATGTATATGTTTTCCATGACAGTGCAAGAGCTTGTGGGGAAAGTTAGTTTTACAACTCTCAGACAATTGTAAGCCTACATCCTCTGAAATAGTTTATAAGAGCCAGTGTGGTTAGTAGTTTGAGCATTGGACTCTAGTGACCAGGGTTTGATTGCCCATTCAGCCATGGACACTCATTGTATGATCTTGGACATGCCGCACAAGGATGGAAATGGTCAAATCTGGTCAAGAAAACCCTTTGATTTCTGAATCATGACCTTGTGTTTGCTATGAGTTGGAGATACCATCAATGCACATACCTACAACTCAGTGACAAAAGTATTATTGATTTCAGTAGGGTTTAACGCAAAGACAAGTGAACTAATATGTAATACCATTATATAATTATAAGAATGTATATCATATCTATGCTCATAGTACTATAACATTAAATGTACTAGCAGCTTGTACAAAGTATACTTCATGCAATTCTCTAAACCAAAAAATTTCCTTATGTGGGATAAACAACTGATTCTTACCCCAACATGCACAAGTTTGTAAGTCCTTTTTGAAAACCAAAGTTTGTCAACAGCAAATCAAAGTTTGTCAGTCCTTTTTTGGAATCCACAATTTATAAACCACAACCAGTTTTGATGGTTAAAAAAGGGCCATTGGTTAAAAAAACCCAATTTCCCCTTGTTTTTCTAGCAAGATGTAATGTTTTTCAGTCACAGAGATATCAGCTTCCTAGATTGAGGTCTTCTCCTAGTCCTGATGTTGCTAAGAAACTTGTGAGCCCTTTTCACAGAGATAGAGGAACCTACCCTAATGAGTATGTAGACTGCTAAGTGAAACATAAATTCTGAGTGCATACATGCCCCATGGACATTAAAGTAGAGAAACCAGTGGTGGGAGTGGGAATTGTTCTTGATGAGCAAATGGCACATGTTTCACTATTAAAGAGTTTTTAATTTTTTACTAAGGGTCCCATTAGGAGGTCATCAGGGGCAGATGGGAATGTCTGCCCTCCAAGCCATCCAGCTAGCATCAATGAACAGCCCTCTTCACCTTCTCAGCAGCCTGAAGTGGTGGTTAATGCCCTCAAGGTAACATGCCTTGCTGTCTTTGGCACAAATGTGCCAAATCTCCCATTTGTGCCAAATCTTCCATTTGTATGTCCTGTGACCATCTGTAATTCATTGCACTCAAAAGCATCAACATCTCTCAAAGGAAAACCAGAAGACAATTCAATGAGTCCCTACTGATGATAACATCTCTTACGTGTTTCTTTCCATGCGTCACTTGTCACATATCACCTGTTCTGACTTAGAGGATCAGTTGGTATAACTTAACCTCTGAGGTTTATTTATTTATTTATTTGCAAAATGTATTTAGAGCTGTATGGACTAGCTCTTTTGGAAATTCTGGGACCACACCAGAGATGTCATCCTTTGAATCTGAGACCTTTTTGTATAACACCTCAGTTCAAACAACTTGATAGACCAGCCATCCTTGGAAACTGGCCATGAAACTGCAGTATGTCAATTTATGCTCCTTGATTCAAGGAGCTATCACAGGTTTTGGAAAAATATAACTTCTTCTCTACATCTGTTTTGGTGTCTTTTGGCTCTTCCAGATTGCCCCATTTCTGTACAAAAATGTGAATATCTTCTCTTAGATGTCTCTGTAGCAGCAGTTCATCTTTTCAATGGATTACATGACAATGCAACTTGTTCTTTTGGCCACTTTTTTGGATAGGGAGGAGGTAACATTATGGTAAAGTTCCAGAGACAGAAAATGGAGAAAACAAATGCTGCTAACAAGCAACTACTATGGGGTTAGCGCTAACTGACCTCACAGCATCCTTAAATGGTTAAGTCTATGAACCCATAAGATAGTTCTTTGTCTACCATAAAGTATTTTTGTGGAACCATAGAAACATAGAGTTGGAAGAGCCCTCATGGGCCATCCAGTCCAACCCACTGCCAAGAAGCAGGAAAATCACATTCAAGTTGAGGGAAACCAAGTGAAGGGAAAAGTATCTGCAGCTCCTGGTGGTGCAGTGGGTGCAGTGGGCTAAAGCGCTGAGCTGCTGAACTTGCTGATCGAAAGGTTGCAAGTTTAGATCCAGGAAGCGGCATGAGCTCCCGCTGTTAGCCCCAGCTTCTGCCAACCTAGCAGTGCGAAAACATGTAAATGTGAGTAGATCAATAGGTACTGCTCCGGCAGGAAGGTAACGGCACTCCATGAAGTCATGCTGGCCACATGAACTTGGAGATGTCTACGGATAACGGCAGCTCTTTGGCTTAGAAATGAAGATGAGCACTAACCCCCAGAGTCAAACATGACTGGATTTTATGTCAGGGGAAAACATTTACCTTTTACCTCCTTCCAGGTTTTGAAATCTTCTAGAAATTCTACAAGTTACTCTTACGTGTGGGAAAGAAGTTTGCAGAGAGTAATTCCTGAGGACAACATGATGACATCTCGTATTTTCGTTGTTAAAATATGAGGAACATGTCTTGGATGAAAAGGCTTGCTTTTCTAATATCCTGTGCAAATCTGGGAAATATTTTTTTAATATTTCATATTCTGATAAAATATTTAATAGTTTAATAAAAACAGGAAAAAAGCTGAAGTATGCATAATGCACATGTGCATTATGTCATAAGTCCCATTCCTTTTGGTTTCCTTTTATAAAAGTTTGCTATACCCCCTCCTTCTATCTCTCTATATATTCACATACATTGTATTGATTGAGAGGCTTATTTTATGCATGAAGACTTGAGTTATACTATAAATATGATTTTTGTAAACTGTTATTCAAAATTAACCTTTCACTGAAATGTATGGATGGAACTGGATTTCTCCTTTTACATACATTACAGATTCACTAGATTAAGGGAACCAATCAAGGAGAGTTGCTACTGGAAACCTACACAAAGGAGATCTGGAATATATAAAACCAAATGAATAAACAAATCCACTCAACACATGAAAATACAGCTGTGTCTTAGATTTACAGTTTTGATTATTTGGGAATTTGTAGGTCATGCTTTCCTGGCTAAATTTCCTCACTCCATCCTCCTCTCCTCCTCTTCTTGCCATCCATCCCCCTCTTTTTCCACCTTGCAATATGGCACCTCCAGTAGATGTGCAAAGCTACTCCGCTTCTTTCCAAACTAAAGCTGACATTAGTAAGAGAAGCCTTCCATGTGCCTAGGCCTCTTTCTGCATAATGCTTTGTGTTTCCCTTGCTTATGGGGAATATACTTGCTGCCTTCCATTTGCATAAATCCCTTTTTGTACAGTGGTTCCATGGAATAGTCAGCCCCCACTTCTCCATTTATTTATTTATTTATTTGATGCACTTATTGACCGCCGCTCTCAGCCCTAGGGCGACTCGCGGTGGTGAACAACATATAAAAACAGTTTACAAAAAAGCAAAAGCAAGAAAATCACACAACAATAATACACAATACTGAAAGTTACACTAACTAATCCGCTTCGTCATATCATAGAATCATACCCAAAATCGTAGTCCATGTTCCGTTCCAGATGTCAATTACCAGTTGCCGTAGTATTCATTTGAATGCCTTCTCGAATAGCCAGGTCTTTAGGCTCCTGCGGAAGGATAGAAGGGAGGGCGCCTGTCTGATGTCAGCAGGGAGGTCGTTCCACAGCCGGGGGGCCACCACCGAGAAGGCCCTCTCTCTCGTCCCCGCCAGGCGTGCCTGTGAAGCAGGCGGGATCGAGAGAAGGGCCTCCCCAGATGATCTCAAGGTCCTCGTGGGCTCGTAGGCCGAGATGCGGTCCGAAAGGTATTTTGGGCCGGAACCGTTTAGGGCTTTGTAGGATAACACCAGCACCTTAAATTGGGCCCGGTAGCAGATCGGCAGCCAGTGGAGCTGGAACAGCAAGGGCGTTGTGTGCTCCCTGCATCCCGCTCCGGTTAGTAACATGGCTGCCGCGCTGGACTAGCTGAAGCTTCCGGGCCGTCTTCAAGGGCAGCCCCACGTAGAGAGCGTTGCAGTAGTCAAGGCGGGATGTGACCAGAGCATGTACCACCGTGGCCAAGTCAGACTTCCCAAGGTACGGGCGCAGCTGGCGCACGAGCCTAAGCTGTGCAAATGCTCCCCTGGTCACCGCTGAAACCTGGGGATCCAGGCTCAATGATGAATCCAGGGTCACACCCAAGCTGCGAACCTGCGCCTTCAAGGGGAGTGCGACCCCATCCAGCACAGGCTGTAACCCTATACCCTGTTCGGCCTTGCGACTGACCAGGAGTACCTCTGTCTTGTCTGGATTTAATTTCAGTTTGTTCGCCCTCATCCAGACCATTACAGCGGCCAGACACTGGTTCAGGACCTCGACAGCCTCCTTAGTAGCAGGTGGAAAGGAGTGACAGAGTTGGACATCATCTGCGTACAGATGACACCGCACCCCGAAACTCCGGATGATCTCACCCAGCGGCTTCATGTAGATATTAAACAGCATGGGGGACAGTATAGAACCCTGTGGAACCCCACAGGTCAAAGGCTGTGGTGTTGAACAGGAGTCCCCCAATAACCCCTTCTGGGTACGACCCTCCAGAAATGACTGGAGCCACTGCAGAGCAGTGCCCCCAAGACCCATTTCCGCAAGGCGCCCCAGAAGGATACCGTGGTCGACGGTATCGAAGGCCGCTGAGAGGTCCAGGAGCACCAACAGGGACACACTCCCCCTGTCTAGCTCCCGGCGCAGATCATCCACTAAGGCGACCAAGACCGTCTCGGTACCATGTCCCGGTCTGAAACCAGACTGTGCCGGATCCAGATAATCCGTGTCTCTCAAGAATACCTGGAGTTGTGAGGCCACCACGCTTTCCATGACTTTGCCCAAAAAGGGAAGATTGGAAACAGGCCGAAAGTTGTCCAATTTAGTGGGGTCCAGTGATGGTTTCTTCAACAGCGGTTTTATTATAGCTGTTTTAAGCTCGCTGGAATCTTGCCTTCCCGAAGGGAGGCATTAACCACCACCGTTACCCACTCAGCCAATCCCCCTCTGGCCTCCTTTAGAAGCCAGGATGGGCAGGGGTCTAGGATGGACGTGGTAGGCCTCATTCCTCCAAGTATCTTGTCCACATCCTCGGGCTTCACAAACTGAAAAGAATCCATCAAAATAGGACAAGCAGGTGCTCGTGTCACATCCTCGGAGACTGCATTTAACATGGTGTCCAGCCCAGAACGGATCAAAGCGACTTTGTCTGCAAAAAACCGAGCAAATGCTTCACAGCGCGTGACCGAGTTGTCAGGGCTCCCGCCTGAGATGGCGGGAGTTAAAAGACCTCTGACAATCCGGAACAACTCCGCCGGACGGTTTTTTGCAGACGCAATAGTGGCCGCAAAGAAAGTTTTCTTTGCGGCTTTTATTGCCGCGGCATGCCCTTAGAAAGGACACAAACCGTGCTCGATTTGACTCGCTTGGGTCCGAACGCCACACGCTCTCTAGTTCCCTCTTCCTTCGCTTCATCACTGCCAGCTCCTCAGTAAACCAAGGAGCTGGTTTAGCTCGGCTACTTGAGAGGGGACGTTCCAGAGCGATCACGTCAATTGCCCTGGCCATCTCCCCATTCCAGAGAGCGACCAAGGCCTCGACATGGTCACCTACCGAGGAGGCGGGAAAATCCCCAAGAGCCGTCAGGAATCCATTCGGATCCATAAGCCTCCTGGGGCGGACCATCTTAATGGGTCCTCCACCTTTGCGGAGGTTAGGGGGTGCAGTGAGCCTAAATCTGATCAGGAAGTGGTCAGTCCATGGCAACGGAGAGATAGACAACTCCTCCACACCGCCACCCTGCTCCCATCCCTGGCAGAAAACCAAGTCCAATGTGTGTCCAGCACAATGGGTGGGGCCAGATATTTGTTGGGACAGCCCCATGGTTGCCATGGCAGACATGAAGTCCTGAGCCGCTCCCGTGAGGGTCGCCTCGGCATGGATATTGAAGTCTCCCAGCACCAAAGCCGTTGAGACTCCAGCGCCAGGCTCGAGACTACCCCCGCTAGCTCAGGTAGGGAGACTGTAGTGCAGCGAGGTGGACGGTACACTAGCAGAATCCCTATTCTGT